ATCTATTGGGTCCTCTGCCCCCCCCCCCCCGGTTGGAAAGCTCCTGGCCTCGCTAGTGAACTCCTTGCTGCTCAGATGGATGATGTAGTCGAGGATGTGAATCCTGGGCGGGCATGATTTTTTTTTAATGCGATCAGCTGCAAGACCCTGCATTTGCGGTATATGCCAGTACCCACTTCAAAATCTCTGTATATATATATATAGTACTTGCATGCAAGCAAGAAACAGAAGTCCTGGAGCCCCGAGGGCCAGGAGCACTGCAACTTCGACTTTGGAGAGAGTGAGCGCCATGTCGATCGGGTGACCGAAACAAAAAGCTTCACACAAAATTCTAATGTTCTACCTTTAGATTTGAGGCCTTCGCATCCTATTATACTCAGGCTTTGCACCGGCACTTCCACCTGCTGGCTGTGAAGCAGCTTCCAAATGCACACGCTTCAAAAGCATTCACATGTAGAAGGATAGCAGGAAACGTTTACAGTGCATGTTTTTTTGCACCGACCTGCATGGGACCCCTTCCAGCAGCTCAGACTTCTGCAGCGGACTCGGGATCAGCGCGACCCCCCTATTAATGCTTTGCAAAACACAAGTGGGATCCAGACAGCACGAGTGCGATATGGCCCCCTGTAGTACATACTACACGTACATTTGCATATGTATGCGTTACCAGATTACAGCTTCAGCACCCGTGTCCACACTCGAGACTGCCATGTCCTAGCCCACGTGCTTTCAAAAGCAGCAACTGCTCAGCTTAAAGCATGTAACCATCTGCAGTTTCCTCAGTCTCGGTTTTTGAACAGGGCCTCCTTGTCGGCTTCGAACTCGTCGTACACCTGGAAGTAGTCGACCCCATCCTGAAGCTTCTTGGCCTCAGTACATTGACAATGGTATTATGATATGGATGCATTTCGAACAGTGGCACTAAAGACGAGCATAACAAAACCCCATTGAATTGAACGAGAAACGATCACCAAGAAGGAATTTCGAAATTCGCCCACACCTATAAGCTTCCTCTTAAACTAAACATCGATATCAAGCACAAGCCCGAATGTAAGCATTTGTACGGGCACGGATAGCAATCTGGTGATATTGGAGGTACTTATGTAATTACTCTCATTAAACTATTATATTAATATGTGCTGCATTACGATTGAAAAACAACTTTTTTTACAACGACCCTGACCACTGCTTATGAAAGCCGGGGTGGGATAAAACACACTACACTGAATGGGCCAGTGCACTGCTTTGATGCATACGTCCACGACGGCACGCATCTGCTCTTCATCGAGATCGATACCACCGGAGATGTGCAAGATCTGTACCAGGGGCAGGGGGACACATATGAGCATATTATTATTACGTTCATTTAATAACGGTTGGCCTATATATGTATATGTAATCATTATCAATATTATATATATATATATATATATATATATATATATATATATTATAAGCATGTGGCACCGACACACACATAACTAGGATAGTACTAGTTGAGATGCACAGTACACGTATACACTGTCAAGTTCATATTAATACTAGATCTAGAAAGAAGTACAATTACGAAAAAGCGCTGTATGGAGATCTACGGTACAGACCTGCATGAAGTATACGTGCACTCTAGATCTGGCATATATATTGTTTTATTCGAATCTATTTTCTATATTTCAACGGACTGATACCCTCAGCTGTGAGGTGTCGAGTATCCAGTGCTCAATCCTCGGGTTCATCGTGTGAAAGGGTTGAGGCTCCAAGGTCGAGGGCATGCACATAGATATTATCGTATAATTAAGTATCAGCTAATCAATATCTAGAGCTCCGGGTGTATGCATGTGTACACTGTAATTGATCTCCTCGCCTGCTTCTTCTTCGAGGGCGTAATCTTGCGCGTCACACCACAGCAGCAGCGGTTCCAATACGGCATCACCTTTGATCGTATGGGGGCTTTCGATTTCCTATATTGAGCTTGATGTCCGGACTAATATATTACAGCTTGGTAGCCTCGAAATTATCAAATTCGGGGATCTCGATCTCGTACTTGTTCTTGGACGTTTTCCGCTTCTTACGCTCCTCTGGCTGCTCATCTCCGGGCCCACTTGCGGGCAATGGAGCCGGATCCGGATCTGCCCCTGCTGCCATGTCCGCCACTGGCCTTTTCGAGTTTGCACGGTCGTTCTTCTTGGTGCGAGGCTTCTTAACCAGCTGCTTATCCCCGGGCCCATCTGGCTTCTCGCCCCCATCCGCGGGCGCACCTGCTGTCGCCTCACCGGCCGTCTCGGCCGATCCCCTTTTGCAACCCTTCGGCTTCTTGGCCTTAGCAGGATCTGCCACAGCATTATTCTCAGCCGGCTCCTGCCCGGCCGGGGGGGAACCTCGGCCTCGGCCGCGCCCACGACCCCGACCACCACGGCCCCTGCCCTTGCCCTTAGAAGGCTCCTGAGCAAGAGCTTTGGCAGCTGCTTTGGCTGCAGCTCGCCTCAGATCTGGACACTACACACCATGCCGAGAAGCAAAACACATGCTTATATGCAAGCCTATAATTTATTTGCAAACGAACCGCAGCTTCGACTGAACAGCCGGGAGGTCTTCATACTCATGTGGCTTATCCGAATCCGTTTGCATGTCGTCTTCACCATCACCCTTCCACTCGGGACGTTCACGAATCAAGGGTCCATGCTCATCTGCCTCGAACAATTCATGGTTCGATCCAGCTTATGGGTTTTGGAAGAAAAACGACCTCTATGGGAAAATTCCATATTCATGGTGCTAGGGTTTTGCAGGAGTTCGGAAATGCCGTCTGTGGGGTCTCCTACAATATATACATATACATAAATGTATAAGTATGTAAGTATATATATATATATATATATATACTCTACTACGATAATGAATAGACGAAGTATGTATGTCTGTGTATATACAGCTATATATATATATATAATTAATAGCTCAACCCTGAACATCCTGAACCTTCAATCACAAATCTCAGGTTCCCCATGACAACTCCGTAAGTTAGATTTATTGGGGTAATGGCTTTAGGACGTTTATAAATAGCCAGGACGTACATGGCTACACTCAATAAGTTTGCTAGCATGTTATGCACATTATTGGCTGGTGTGTCGTCGGCCTTCTCGGCCGTGCGGAGTGGATCAGCCATTGCCTGCACTAGAGCATTAATATTGGAACTCCACTCCATGTCGAGATCTGTTCGGAAAAGTTATCCCAAAACCGTGACCCCTCCCCGCACCATCATCGTGCTCTTATACTTAATCCAGCGTCCCTTCGAAACTGCTATGTCATTGCAAAACGGAATCGTATGTTCATGCAAACAATGGACGGCATGAGTTCCAAGAATTCGAAGTATATTAACGAGAACCGGCACCGTACCCTTCAAACCAACACCCGAAGCCTTGAGCACATAAATCCCCATTGCAGATCGAGACTCGAACTCCACACACTATATAGTAATATCATTTTGTCGTCATAGCACCGCTAGCATTCTCAACCTATAGCCTGCCTTACAGCATGTGGGGGTGTTCTGAAGCCGACGTGGTGAGGTCAGACCTATATACCTACGATTTATGAGTTGGGGGCACGGCTGAGGCATCGGGGTGGGGCGAACAGACACCTGTCCCCAATAATATTAGTCTGTTGTTCTATACATTATATACATATCTTTTCACCTATAACTTGAACCATAAGCCTGCAATTATATAGCTTTAAATTTAACACTATATATATATATATATATATATATGAGGATTGAACTAGCATAGTACTATACCCTTATGACCGGGTCGTCAGCCTTGTCGGCCGCGCGGAGTGGATCAGCCGTCGCCTGCACCTTAAGAACAGGGGACCGCAAGCCCTCCCCCCAAACCCGAAAAATATTGCTACACCCGCCCCTTGCCACCCCACCCCCACACCGTGGGCTTCTTACTCAAACCAGCGGGCCCGATGGTATTAAATATCTCCTATTTGTAGAATATGTATATATAGTATATGATGAAATTCGTCCTCTACCACCGGTACCGAGCACCGGCACCATTAAAACGAACATCCCAGGCCCTGAACTTAAAACTCAACCCCCGAATAAGCACGATAGTTACCGAATCGTAGCAAATATTCCCGAGATGGTGAGTTCATATGTGTTTTGTATGTATATATCTATATCTATATATATATATGTATAATATATATATCTATATATATATATATATATGTATATTTATATTATAATATCGAGCCATATGAATGTGCAGCCGAATCGGTGCCCCCAATACTCAATCCAGAAAACTGTATTACATTCCACCACCATAATTACGAAAAACAACCCCGCCACCCTTGACCCGGAAACCTTATAAACACTTCATGACACGTGGCCTTGCCGGCCATGTGGACTGCCCCATCCGCTTTTGCACCATTAATAGCCGTCGCCTGCAGAATCGGAAAGCTGAGATTCGGGTGTTTGTGGTTTTGTGGTTTTGTTCGTGTGTTTAGTGGTTTCGCGTGTTTAAGGGGTTGGGGAAGGTTTATGTTTCTGGGTTTGTGGGTATTTAGTGGTCTTTGCGTGTTTAAATATTTGAAAGGCATGCATGCATATGTAAAACTGTGTGTACGCATGCGCATGTGTACTTAAGCAATCTATATATACATGAATGTCGCGTGTTCGTTGGCACAGTATACTCATCATCATATATATATATATATACATACATACATACATACATACATACATATGTATAAGTATGTCGTTCATGATAATTTGTATTTTGCCGGCCTCATGCACGGCTGGGCCACCGATATCCACAGGGAACGGGTTCTGGGAATCTTCTGAACACGTGAATCTTTTTGAATAGTACATGTACGCATCATCCGTATCATCCTCACCCTTCGCGAAGCACGCCTCGACAGCTGTGGGCTCGGCACACTCAACCGGGTCCATTGCGCTGTCCTTCAGGGTTTAGGCCCATGGTTGGGAGAAGCAAAACACAAATCTATAAACATAAGCGTATATACATATATATATATACATACTGTACATTTGGATTGTGATAGGTTTGGGTTTCTGATTGGGCCTCAGCACACTCGACCGTCGGCTCAACAGTCGCCGCCGCAATCTCCTTCGGCTCGGCACACTCAGCCGTCGGCTCAACAGTCGACGCCACGGCAATCTCCTTCGGCTCGGCACACTCGACCGTCGCCTCAACAGTCGCCACAGCAATCTCCTTTGCGGCCGGCTCAGCACACTCGACAGTCGGCTCAACAGTCGACGCCACGGCAATCTCCTTCGGCTCGGCACACTCGACCGTCGGCTCAACAGTCGCCACAGCAATCTCCTTCAGCTCGCGATCGGCACACTCGACCGTCGGCTCCACAGTCGCCACGGCAATCTCCTTCGGCTCAGCACACTCGACCGTCGTCGGCTCAACAGTCGCCACGGCAATCTCCTTCGCGCCCGGATCAGCACACTCGACCGTCGGCTCAACAGTCGCCACAGCAATCTCCTTCGGCTCGTGATCGGCACACTCGACCGTCGGCTCCACAGTCGCCACGGCAATCTCCTTCGGCTCAGCACACTCGACCGTCGTCGGCTCAACAGTCGCCGCGGCAATCTCCTTCGCGCCCGCATCAGCACACTCGACCGTCGGCTCAACAGCCGACGCCACGGCAATCTCCTTTGCAATTGGCTCGGCACACTCAACCGTCGGCTCAACAGTCGTCGCCATGGCAATCTCCTCAACTTCGCTCGGCACACTCGACACTTCGGGGGAAGTTACTATTGGAGTTGGTACTATATATTTTCTGTAACTGTATATTGTAGGATTTAGGGCTTGTGGGTTTAGGCTTATAAAGTGTTTCCACGGCAAGCTCCTTCTGGGGCTCAGCACACACAACCGTCGGTTCGACAGTCGATTTTGGGGGCTCGGCACACTCTGGCTCGGCAGTCGGCTCAACAGTTGCATCCACTGCTGGCTCCGTCGGACACTCAACCGTCGGCTCCTCTAAGGGTTCCGGCTCTGCCCGCTCATCAACTGTCGACTCGCGATCCGCTGAATCGGTCTCAGCAGCAGGCTCACTGCCCGCATCGTCGTCGCCAGCAGTACTAGTACTCGCATCGGGTGGCTGGACCGTCGCGTTAACCAAGGCGAGGATGTCCTTGAGATGCTGAATCTCCTCGGTCCTGCATCTACGGACATTAAAACGGCCTGCATTTAGACTACATGTTCTAAATTATTATGTGATCGATGTCCTGGACCGGTCAGGAGTTCTGCGGTACAGCCGGATGCCGTACATAGCCCGCAGTCGTAAGGTGCCCGCATTGAGATCCACCCAGGCCTACAGGGCCAAGCATGCATTTGTCCATACACGGAACCACATGTTAAGTAATTATGTGTGTATTCATGATGTTTTTTTTTTGGCTTGCCTGCACCTCCTTTTTCTTGTATCCCTGCGGCAGCAACTCGTGCTCGTGCTCCACCCAAGAAAAAGCGGCCTCATATGACATCATGCTCGACTAGACTATATGATAGCGGTCGACATATATTACAGTGCGAGCGAGCCGCTTTGTACTTCGTGAGGCTGGGCTGCTTCATGCCGAAATTCGCATACAAACTCTGTAAAATCACATGGGCTTCATGAACGGCATCTTCGGACATGAACTCCCTTGCCGGCAGGCAGTCGCGGTCCTTAACTATGTATAAGCAGATCACATGTGTGATTTGATCATGTCAAAAGTTCGAAATTAATACTCTCTGCACACCAAATGACGTCACTGCGTCGGATTACTGAAGCAAGTGAATGTCCGCTGTCTTGCTTGGTCAGCATCCATTCGTTCAACAGATCTTGCAGACACTGCAACCTCAACTCGCAAAGTCCGAACATGAACAAGCGTGTACTCGTTAATCTACTTGCAATAATCTACCCAGCAGCTCCGAATCGTCGAGAGGAACCTCGACGTCAGGTTCCACAGCAGGCTCGGCACACATGTTTCCGGACATGTCGGTACTGCTAAGTGCTAGCTGCACAGCTGCCTTTGCAAATGCTACAGCATGCACTGCATTTCAATGTACAGACAGCACATGTATGCAGTACGTGCACGGCAGCTCGAACGTTCACACAGCGAGCATGAAAATGAGCACCTGAGTTCTATATGCTAGATTCTAGCAGCAATATCGCTGTGCACATGTTGATGGCAGGGATGGAAGGGCGCACCTTTCGAGGCATCCGTCCGCTCACGGCGGCTCACCAAGCGACAAGCTTTTCGCATATAGCAGCATGATCGGCCAGCTCTCACAACCGTAGTGCCGGCCACAGAAACATCTTCGAAAGCGACTATGCACTATACAGCTACTTCATGAACATGCCCGACAATCTTGAAAACCGACTCGAAGGTATGCCACAAATCTGTTACATCGGTACTTCATCCTGAAGTGGTTACACACGGATCCTTTCAACTCATGCATGGGAGCTCTGGTCAATGCAACCTCGTCCATACTCGCGAAACTTGCACCACAGAGCCATATCCGCCCACTGCGCAGGCGATCACTCACGGAAATCCGAATCGCATAGTCCCTGAACTATCCAACAATAGCCCTTAACTATCCAACAATAATCGAACACCATGACACCGATGGCCTCTTTCGGAATGCAACCCAGACCTACGGTTGCTGGTGCTGTTCCTTTATATGGATGTAGGGGCTTTGAGGTGTTGTTAAGGTTTTTTCCATTCGGTGAAACTGCCAATCATCTATATGTCAAGGCATCAACGAGCATTATCCTATGAAATGGCCCTGCCGGGCAAGGGGTCTAGGAACCGGTTCCTGGAACCGGGGGGTTTTCGGCCATGACCCCAACTATTGGGTACATAGGCCATGGCCCCAACTGTTGGGTACATGGAAGCCCTGGGCAAAGCATAAGCAGATAGATGCGGGATTTGGCATGCTATACGGTGGCCGAACCATTCAACATAAGGTCTATAGCGGACCAGCTGGTAGCAGCATCAGTACTTTCAACGCGGCTTCAAGCCTCGAGAGACGAGGGTAACTAGCCTTCGCCGCAAGCCTTGGACCCGAAACCCTGAGCCCCTATAAACTCTAAAGCAGAGCCCTAAACCCAAAGCCCTAAACAGTAAACCCTTCAACCCCTAAATCCCTTAACCCCTACACCCCCTAAAACCCTCAACCCCTCAACCCCCGAAACCCCTAAACTCCTAAATCCCTAAACCCCTGAAACCTAAACCCCTAAACTCTGAACCACAAAAGCCCATGTCTCCTTTTATTCCGGTGAATACCATGCGGAACTGTAAGGCTTGACCTCTCAGTGAACACGAGCAAACCTGAACCCGGGCTCAACAACCCAACACCCTAAACCCTACAACCCACTCAAAGCCTAAACCTGAACCCCTAACTTCAACCCAGCAAACCCAAAGCAGACTCTACATGAAGCCCTACGGCGGAAACATCAGGCCGATGCCAAGGCGCTCTTCCTAATCTTGTAACCACTACATCTCCAACTGCACACTAAACTTTAAGAGAATAGGGCTTGAGGGTATACTGTATATTCACACAAGGACTGTTTCAGGGATTACTATTGAATCTTCAAAAACTCAAGCCTCTGGTTAAGCCTCCACGTTGAGCCACACAAACTACAACCGCTATAAAGCAAGATCAAGAGGCTCTAAATCTGACAGCCTAAACTACAAACCCCTAAACCATAAACTTAAAACCCTCTAAGGCCTGATCCCCTCGAAACTTGTATGGCCCCTACGCTAAACCCTAAACCCTTACACACCAACCTCTCAACCCCTAAACCCTAAACCTTCATCTTCTAAAACCCTGAACCCCATGCCCCCCAATCCCCCGGCCTCAAAACAGCAGCATTTATCAAGGCCGAAGCTAGAGACGTCTGGTCCTGGAGTAACCGGAGAGCCTAATTTTAGGGGTTGAGTACCCTAGCCCAAACAAGTGAACCTTTTGAATTGTGGTAGGGTTATATAAACCCGAAAAAGTTGAAGGTGATCTACTCAGCTACTGAGTAATACCTCATACCAGTGTTCGGGGCTTCGGGTTTGCAGGTTCATGGGTTATAGGGCTTACGGAATGAGATGGGTTCAGGGTTTACTGTGATTCTACAGGGTTTTTAGGAGGTCTGCATATAGCCTTCACTTGAGGAGTATCGGGCTAGGGAGTCCTTGCAGAACGCCCGCCACTGCCGATATACACCCTCAACCACACACCTTGTAGTTTAGAGTTCAGTTCAGTTTGGGGGTTCAAGGTCAAGGGTTTAAAGGGTTTGGGGTCGCGTTTTGAGATTCGGGGTTTGGGGTCGAGGGTGTTGAAACCACAGAACCAGCATCCGCAAACGCCCTGTGCTTCTACTGCACGGTACTAGGTTTAGGGTTTAGGACTTTGGGAGGGGCACAACTAGCATTTGGCAGTTGTCCCCAAACTGGGCCTCGGGTATGATGCCTGCTTAGGTGGAACATTAGTGAGAACATGTATTCCCAACCGCTCTCCTTTTAAAGGCCGCCACAGAGCTTCCAGAAGCCGCTGATAGCACAGTATACTACACCGCAAGCTCAAGGGTCATCTCAATATGATTAAAGGTCTGCTCAATTCCTTAACTAAGTGGTAATGGATTGTCTGAATACATATGGAATTTTGCAAAAGGCCCCGAACCCTAAGGCCTAAATCAACCCGCAAACCCTATGAACTATGAACCCCAAATCCTAGACTCCAAACCCCCCACCAACACCCATTTCAATCCCCGCCTGGCTTTGCGAGAGCTGCTTCACCTCCCAGCAACACCGGGCCAACTCGGCCTGCGAATTAAAAGACCCTCCTCCTGTTACCCCGGGGCTCCAAGCAGCCCAAAGTTTGTATTATTCAAAGACTTCAGGCCCAAAAGTAGGTACTATTTGCATACTGGTAGCCCTAGAGTTCGGGTTTACTCTGGGGCTGATGGCTTGGGCTTTAGGAACCGCATAATAAGGCAACCCTATTATGTACTGTGGATTCCTATGCGGTAGCTTAAACTAAGTTCCTCAACAAGAACCCAGGAACTTAGCAAACATTGCTGAATTGAGGTGGCTAAGGGTTCTATAGGGTTCTTGTAGGGGTTCTACACGGTTCCTATGATTGCTCGGGACTCACCTACCCCACCTACCCCACCTACCCCACCCACCTACCCTATACAAGGGTTCTCCAACGGCTTCAAATTTAGGGTAAGTATTTAAGGTTTATAACGGACAGGCACACCATCATTACAGCTGATATGGGTTTAGGGTACGGGTTTAAGGCATTGGGAGGCAACCCTATGTTTATTACAAGTATTAACTGTAGGTCCTTACTATGGTAGCTTAATCTAAAGAAAGTTCGTTAACAAGAACCTAGGAACTTGGCGAATATCGCTGAGCTAAACGGGCGGTTCCAATAGGGATTCACAAGGGTTCCCATGAATACTTATAAGGGTTGGAAAGACCGCCTCACAATGAGATTTGCTGCGGGTCGATTCTCGGCAGATGAAGGTGCTGGCAGGGGTAGGGCTTTAGAACTTCGGGTTGGAGGGTCTCAACATTCTTGAATTCTAGTACCTTTTGGAGCGGCACTAGTAGGGGGCATGCATCAAAGTGTTTTTTTAATTGATACACGGGGTTGGACTTCGTTTTACAGTCTTTACTGACTGCTATTGCTACTGCTACTCCTGCAGCTGGAGCTCCAGCTGCTACAAGGGCCTTACAAGGGGCGGAAAAGGCACAATCCCACAACATAATGCAGGGAAATACCAATCTTAAATACTTTACATCAAACACTCGGAGGCCCCGGAACTAAGCACACAATACAAAACACAGACGGATCCTGAACGCCGATCGTGTGCCAAGAACCGCCAAAGGCCTTCTGAACCTCGAAAGCATAAACCTCAAACCCTGAACTCCCGAATCTTATCAATCCTAAACCCAGCAGATCCACGCGCAGACCCTTACAAAGCCGTTAATGCCGAAACCCTATATCCCAAAAATGTCAATTAATGAACCTGTGACACCCAAATTTACGAACAACCAAAAGCAGCCCCTGAAGCGATACTTCACCCGCTGGCAGGGGCGGCCTCGATGGCCTCAGCTGCATGAGGAAAACAGCTGGCTCCGGGTTTCAGGCAGGGTTTAGGGTGTATACAGAGTGTAGAGGGTTTTGGGTTACTTTGATTGAAGCGCGAACCCCAGAATACGTTGCTGCTTCAGGAAGTATGGTGTAGCAGTGGGGCTAAGGACAGTACTCGCTAACAAAGAGCTTTCGGGCTGAAAACCCTAAGGGTCCAAACATCCTTATTATGGAATTTGGCACCTGTAGCCCTCCTGTTGGGGTGCTCGGACTCAGGGCTGGAGCATAATTTGAAGCCGTACAGAATCGTGCTGGTGCTATTTCTCAGGCCCCACTGCGAGGCTCCGGAGCTTGGACAAGCTCAGGTCCAAGGGTCCAAGTAGTCCTTGTCTATGGTTTTTGGTACCTA